AAAACGCACAAGTTGTTCCAGGTCTGCAAACAAGTTGTTACAAATCTGTTCACAAGCTGTCGACAAGTTGTGTTCGCACTGCTTGTTCCCAGTTGTTGTAACAAGTTTGGAACAAGCTGTTAACAACTTGTAATAAGCTTGATGGCATTATCAGACTTGTTACAAGGTTGTTCTAACAAGTCTGATACAGTCATGATATAACAAGAATGTTACAAGGTTGTTCTAACAAGTCTCATACAGTCATGAGATAACAAGAATGTCACAAGGTTGTTCTAACAAGTCTGATACAGTCATGAGATAACAAGAATGTCACAAGGTTGTTCTAACAAGTCTGATACAGTCATGATATAACAAGAATGTTACAAGGTTGTTCTAACAAGTCTGATACAGTCATGATATAACAAGAATGTTACAAAGTTGTTCTAACAAGTCTGATACAGTCATGATATAACAAGAATGTTACAAGGTTGTTCTAACAAGTCTGATACAGTCATGATATAACAAGAATGTTACAAGGTTGTTCTAACAAGTCTGATACAGTCATGATATAACAACAATGTTACAAGGTTGTTCTAACAAGTCTGATACAGTCATGATATAACAAGAATGTTACAAGATTGTTCTAACAAGTCTGATACAGTCATGATATAACAAGAATGTTACAAGGTTGTTCTAACAAGTCTGATACAGTCATGATATAACAAGAATGTTACAAGGTTGTTCTAACAAGTCTGATACAGTCATGATATAACAAGAATGTTACAAGGTTGTTCTAACAAGTCTGATACTGTCATGATATAACAAGAATGTTACAAGGTTGTTCTAACAAATCTGATACAGTCATGATATAACAAGAATGTTTCAAGGTTGTTCTAACAAGTCTGATACAGTCATGATATAACAAGAATGTTACAAGGTTGTTCTAACAAGTCTGATACAGTCATGATATAACAAGAATGTTCCAAGGTTGTTCTAACAAGTCTGATACAGTCATGATATAACAAGAATGTTCCAAGGTTGTTCTAACAAGTCTGATACAGTCGTGATATAACAAGAATGTTACAAGGTTGTTCTAACAAGTCTGATACTGTCATGATATAACAAGAATGTTACAAGGTTGTTCTAACAAATCTGATACAGTCATGATATAACAAGAATGTTACAAGGTTGTTCTAACAAGTCTGACACAGTCATGATATAACAAGAATGTTACAAGGTTGATGACACAAGGTTGTAACAATATTACTATATCATGACTGTATCGGACTTGTTGGAACAACCTTGCAAAACTCTGATAATAGTTGACAACTTGGGACAAGCAGTGCGAACACAATTTGTTGACGGCTTGTCGGCAGACTTACTACAAGATGTGAGATTTTTGCGTGTGTCCTTTATTTTTTTACTTTGCCTAAGGCATTGAAATGAATCTAACTGGAACGCCTACCTTCAGATAAACTCTTTTCTTAAAGTGTATATGACATGAAGTTTCTTAGTTTCTTAAATGAAAGAACTCTTTAAGCTGTAGTGTAACTTATTTTTCAGTTTCTTGTTTTTATGGTTTGTTCCCGAGATATTTCAATTTGTTTGATATGTAAATGAGTGTGAATATGTGCGCCAATTTATGACGTCATGTTGGTTGCAAGCTCAACTTACACTGGTTATAAATCTATTATCTCTAAAAACTGTTGATATCAGTTCACGTTTTTCTCCAGTGTTTCATCACATTTACCAGTGAGTGAAGTTTGAAATTATCATCTTGGATGATAGCAGTGATATTCAACCATTTTGAAGCGCTTGCAACCAAAGTGACGTCATAAATTAGCGGACATATTCACACTCATTTACATATCAAACAAATTGAAATATCTCGGGAACAAACCATGAAAACAAGAAACTGAAAAATAAGTTACGCTACAGCTTAAAGAGTTCTTTCATTTAAGAAAATAAGAAATTTCATGTCATATACACTTTAAGCCAAATCGTAAGATCAGGCGTGTTTTCGACATGTTGACTGATTGAGTGATCTTCGTAAGCATGAAAAGACCGGGGTTGAGGTAGCGTTCCAGCTCTGTTTAGTTCGACGATCTAATGGCAGAGAGTGCTGGCGCTTGATGGTTTAAGAGGCAATTTTTTTCAATGTCACGTATTTGCAATGAAAAGTGTTCAAAACCTAAAATCTTTTTGGCGTTCCTCTCAAAATTACTTTGTTTTAGCTTTATTCTCTAGTTTATACAGTTAGCTACCTTTTTAAATGCATCTGCCGATTGAGAAACATAAAATAGTAGATAAAAATTGTCAATTAAAATACAATTATATCAATGATGCTTTAAAATTGACGCCATATTTACAGCCATATAAGCAAAACTTAGTGAACTTCAGACATCATTTCCTCTTTGGCGTATCATCTAAAATCTCTTCATTTTAGCATTATTTTACAGATAAAGCACTAAACATACTTTTTAAATTTGTTTGCCGATTGAGAAACGTATCGAAAAATAAAAATTTTGAATTTAGTCATAACCTCAAGTGGTATATTATACGCATTAGTTTTGAGCGCGTGTTACGTAACATACAAAAAAATCTCCTCTTAAGGTGGCTCGATATAGTTATCACAAAAACCCTGCTCAAGAATCGCGAAACTCAAAGCCGGGTGACCATTCTTACGCGCAGGTCGCGGAAACTGATTAACAAAATGAAAGAACTTCCAAAATGACCTGACGTGAGCAGTTGCTCGCGCCATATCACGTCATTGCGCGTGTTCTATTTAACAATTAGTCGCCGAAGGCGAGGTGATTACAAGCCTATATTCACTGAGCCGAAGGCGAAGTGAATATAGGCTTGTAATCACCGAGCCTGAGGCGACTAATTGTTTTAGTATAAATTTCCAGGTATTTACAAAAAATAATCCACACAACTTTATAAAAATTCACTTCAAATAAATTTATTTTCGCTATAAATAGTTTGTTTACAAAATTTAAATCTCAGACACGGCTCTGTGTCGCGTTGCGACTAAGCCAGTTTTTTCAGTGGTTTCAAAATAAGCCGTCGCCCGTCGCATCCGACTGCAACTCTTCCATTTGCGACGGCTACTTTTTCTTTTGTAAGTAACTAAAAATCATGTTAAAATACCAAAGTGTTTACAAAACATTTTGTGAGCAAACAAGCGTGTATTTCCTCTGGAATTTCGTCGAAACATAGCGACAGTCGCAGATTAGAAGCTTTGATACGTCTTTTGCGCGCTGAGGACAGGCTCAGAGCAGTGCTTCCACTTTCAAAATCGGAAAAATCCTTATTTTTTCCCAAATTGAACTAAAATTTTTAAGAATTTCTTCCATTTTTACGCAGATTTTCGCAAAATCATACCAGATTATTGCAAATAAAAATGTTTTGAATATATTTGCTGCAATAGATCAAACAATAGCTTGTTTGATCTATTGCAGCAAATATATTCATTTGGAGTTTATATTGATTCGTCATTAAAAGTCCAATAATTTAATTAAGCAAATTAAAGGTATTTAAATTATTTAGTGCTGCCAGGCATTTAAAACAACTATGGTTTTGTTGGGTGATGTTTACTGTATGTAAACGTTGTTGTTATAGGCATTAATTATAAGAACAATAATTTAACAGTGTTTTAGACAATTAAAATATAATTTTTTTGTGTCTCAAGAATAAATGCTGGAAAATGCATCTCCTATGCATCTCCGTCAGATCCTCCTAGTTGCGAAGTTCGGCCTTCGGTTGCAACTCCTACTCTTCCCAACGCAACGTCTACTGTGAAATGTTTTGAAACCACTGTTTTTTCCAAATAAAAGCACGTAAAGTTTAATATTTTACCTTGAAATATTTTTAAACCATATTTTGTAGCTTGTTTGGGTTTTTACGGAATGCTATCTTCTTTAATTTTGGCAATTTCCTCCTCTGTAATACTACGGCAAAACGAGCAGCCATTTTGAAAAAAAAGCTATAGTCACTGAACAGTGACTATCACTTCAGAGACAGTGAATCTTGACCAATCAGAATGGAGAAAAATCAATAGTCACCTGGCAATTTATACTAAAGTGTTTTATGTCAATTGCTGACGTCATTAGAAGTTTCCATTTTAGAAAAACAATGCGCTATATCTCATTATTTTGTCTGGTGACCTATGTTCAAATTTTGCATGCTGTATTGCACCGCTAAAAACTTTCATTATACAAAAAATAAAAAAATTCTGTAATGCTTAAAAAAATTTATCGAAGAATATGACATTTTCGCATTTTCAAAAAAAATGGCATTACAGAATTTTTTTATATTTTGCTAATTGTTAGCTTTTCGTCCAAGTAAAATAATGCAAGAAAAAAAAATTGGGGGTCACCATGCTTCTTTTCCAACTATACGAGACGATAGGCCATTTTGGAGTGAATTTCGTACACGCATGTCGTCATAGCAACGAACTATCTGTTACTAAAACTAATATAATTTGAAAGTAGAGATATCAACATATATAAAAAATCCAATATCTGCTGAATAGATCCTAAGAATGAGTAGTTTGAACATGTCAAAGTGTTGAACACCTGAATTTTTGAAAACTGTTTCGAGCCACCTTAATACTTCCGAATTTGTTGTGTTTAGCTTTTGATCAAGAATTTAAAGAACGAAGTGACGAAGAAGATACCCACGCAAACTTGTGATAATATATTTTACGCCGGAACTGGTAGTCTTTTGTTGAGAGATCCTGAAGCTGTCACACTTTTTGATGTCCAGCAAAAGCGGTAAGTGTTCTACCTTTCTACATCATCTTCTCATCTCTTCATTCCGTAGTGTCATTTCGTGCGTTTTTTATGCAGCTTATTCATTCTCGTACCCAGAGCCCTTCTTACGCGCGGTCAACGGAGCGCGACCAGGGGCTCTGGCAAAATCCAAACCGGATACCATAAAAACTGGGTACCATGAAAACACGAGCATTACATTCATGTTTCGCTCGCTACTCTGGTTTAAATAAATAATTACAAAGCCCAGTCGAATAATTGAATAATTGAATATGTTCGAATAATTGAACATGCCCAGTGTTTAACCGGATACCATGTTTTTATGGTATACGGTTTGGATTTTGCCAGAGCGCCTCGTCGCGCTCCGTTGACCGCGCGTAAGAAGGGCTCTGGCTACGAGAATGGCAACTTATTCTGCTTTGATGCAATGCGCGCAGTGTAATATTTACGGATTTTGTCAAATTTGCAATTAGCAACGGTCACATATATATATTTTTATTCTGCCTTCGTTTCAATGTTTCCAAGCCAAATTGCGTTTGAATTTATGAACTTCCGATCTATGTTTGTCTTGAACATTTTGTTGAAAATGCTTACCTTTGTAACCTTCTAAACGAATGTTGGATAAAATAGCCGTGACCGTTGCTTATTGCGAAACATTTAATTTGTTGGGCGGAGTTGCACCATAGCATATATCATACCACACCATACGATACCATACCATACCATACAACACCACACCATATCATACCACATATACCATACCACATCATTTACCATATACCATATCTGTATCATACCATATCACACCATACCCTACCACATATCACACCATACCACATATACCATACCACATCATATATCATCATACCATATCATATACCATACCATACCACATCATATACCATATACCATAGTAACCATACCATACCACATATCACACCATACCATACCACATACCATACCATACCATACCACATCATATCATATACCATACCACACCACATCATACCATACCACATCATATCATACCATACGATTCCACATCATACCATACCATACTACATATCATATCATATACCATACCATATCATATACCATACCACATCATATCATACCATACCATACCATACCACATATCATACCATACCATACCATACCATATCATATCATACCATACCATACCACATCATCATACCATTATCATATACCATACCACATCATCATATACCATACCGCATCATACCATACCATACCACATCATATCACACCATATCATATACCATACCACATATCACACCACATACCACATACCATACCATACCACATCATATCGTACCATACCATACCATACCACATCATATCACACCATATCATATACCATACCACATATCACACCACATACCATACCATACCACATCATATCATACCATACCATACCATACCACATCATATCATACCACATCATATCATACCATATATCATATCACAGATATAGAAAACTAGTTTCATATTTATTCTGACACTACAGAAAACAACGAAAAATATACAACTACTTTTTCATATCTGTGAGAATGGTTGTGAAATGGAATTGAATGTTAGTCAGTTAAAAGCTTTATTGTTGAAAAGTTAATTATCATAATTCATCATTTTATTCAGTACCATGGGCGTTGCTAAAGTTTCTAAAGTGAAATATGTTGTTTGGTCTTCAGACATGTCACATGTTGCTCTATTAAGCAAACATAGTAAGTAATGCTTTGACGCAACAGTCATTGTTGATAGCTTCGGTTATAGTCAGTTGACAGAGGATTTTATTCTTAATTTTATTTGCAAACTGTATCAATAGTATCGTTTTCAGAGACTCTTTCGTGCTCTGAGAATGTCAAGTGTTTGCTAAATCAAAGTCCAATATTAGTCACCATTCTGACTATTTGACATGTCATGGATGGTCTTACTATCTGGAACATTTAACAGTCAAACTGAACTTTATGTACATTGAATAGGTCTGTCAGTTCTAAACTGTTCTTTCTAGAGGTCCAGTAAGGATCATCTGTTATTGATCCAGTGTTACTACAGGAGGAAACCTAAACTAAACTAACTTTATTTATATACTGGATAGCTTTATCAGTTCTAAACTGTTCTTTCTAGAGGTTCAGTAAGAGTCATCTTTTATTTATCCAGTGCTACTACTGGAGGAAACCTAAACTAAACTAACTTTATTGACACTGGATAGCTTTATCAGTTCTAAACTGTTCTTCCTGGAGGTTCAGTAAGGATCATCTCTTATTGATCCAGTGTTACTACAGGAGGAAACCTAAACTAAACTAACTTTATTTATACTGAATAGCTCTATCAGTTCTAAACTGTTCTTCCTAGTGGTCCAGTAAGGATCATCTCTTATTGATCCAGTGTTACTACAGGAGGAAACCTAAACTAAACTTTCTTTATTTATTTATATTCTGGATAGCTATATCAATTCTAAACTGTTCTTCCTAGAGGTCCAGTAAGGATCATTTCTTATTGATCCAGTGCTACTACAGGAGGAAACCTAAACTAAACTAACTTTATTTATATACTGGATAGCTTTATCAGTTCTAAATAAAATATTTTTTTATTAAAGTTGTGTCTATATGCAATCGCAAGCTTGAATCACTGAGCACGATCCATGAGAATATCCGTGTGAAGAGTGGCGCCTGGGACGAGAATGGAGTGTTCATATACACGACATGTAATCACATCAAATATGCTTTGTTGAATGGGTAAGTTCGTTAGTGATATTTGTCCGGGGGAAATTTTTTCAATGTCACATATTTGCGATGAAAAGTGTTCCTTTTGGCGTTCCTCTCAAAATCCTTTGTTTTAGCTTTGTTTAGGAGAAGTGGCAAGCATGCAATCACACTCGTATAACGTAATGGATTATTCCAGCTATCAACTAATTTTTTATCTGGACAAGAAAGACGAAATCTGTCATTATAGCTCAAAAGAGCATCCTAAAATTAGTAACATTGCAAAGTTTGGTTGCGAAATGTGGTAAAATACGGAAAATATAGCCCTGTGAAATTATCAAATTTTGAGTCTTTTATATTACGCGCGGAAAAATGCACCACTTTCGGCTCAAAAGTGGTACATTTTCCCGCGCGTAATACTAGTAAAATACTCAAAATGTGCTAATTTCACAGGGCTATATTTTCCGTATTTTACAACATTTTGCCATCAAATTTGGCAATTTTACTAATTTAAGGATGTTCTCTTAAGGTTACAGGACACCCTTTTTGGCGTTTTGTGGAAAATCAATTTTTCACCAAATGTTAGCCAGTGCATGCAAAATATGATAAAAGTTGTAAAATTGACAAACAATAAAATAATGTAAGAATTATTCAGGAGAATCTTAAGTCGCGTTACCTTTACGCTTTTGAGTTATGCTCCTGCTGGTTTTAATATATATTTATGAAAATATCATTTTTATAAAAGTAAAATAGTTGTTCTAAAAAATTGTGTTGGGAAATTTTTGTTTATTTCGTCATTCCGCTGATATGGCGATTTCTTTGACGACTGCAATATATTTCTGAATCGTTTGTGTGAATTGCTCCTTATTATTAAAATATCCAAAATTAGAACAAAGCCGAACACAATTTTGAACCTGACGTATTTAGCTATGTCCTGTGAAAATTTGAGAAAAATTCGTTAAAACCCGCAGGAGCACAACTCGTTTAAAAATCAGTAATTGCCGTAAAATTCTTCGGGAGAAAATTGAATTTGAATATTACATTTTCAATGTTTTTCTTATTGTAGCGAAATGTATTTTATTAAATAACTCTGCGAGTTTTCAACATTTTTCGTTCAAACTTGGTCAGATAGTAGAACTAGTCTAATGCTTTCATGGAAACCAATAAAAAAATTTTAGGCAAAATTAACCCTCAAAGGTGTTCTGTAACCTTAAGCTATAATGATAGATTTCATCCTTCTTGTCTGGATCAAAATTTAGTCTAGAGCTGGAATCCATTGTCATCACAAAATTATGATTATTAAATTGAACTTATTAAGCTAAAGTTAGTAATATAGCTGCCAGGACCATATGATTCTGTGCAGTGCGTGGCAATGATGCCACAACATACGCATTTTATACAATCTCTTTTGTTTTGTGTAGGATTCTTTACACTCTTACAGTTCTGCTGATAAAAATCTTAAACAATCAGAATTGATAGATATAACTGTACATTAGACAACAGCGTTAATCGACATGGTTAATTGACTATCTTAGAAAAAGTATCTAATGTCTGTCAAATGCCACAACGTTTGTGGGACTCTTTATTCATTCCATCAAGACATTATATGAGACATCGCCATTTTGGCACTTCAATGAATAAAAATGGCAGACTAAAATTTATTTCACCTGCCGAAAAATTTTAGACTGGCAGGCCATATTTTTTCTCTATACCTTGAGCCCTCTCTAGAGCCTTCAGCGGACAGCGAAACCACATTGGCATACATGTCCAAAATCTCCCAATATTTCGTGAAGGTATAAATTTTGCAAACTGTAATAACCTAACTTTCAGAGACTCTTTCGTGCTTTGGGAGTGTCAACAGTTTGCTAAATCAAGTCCAATATTACTCACCATTCTGACAATTTGACATGTCATGGATGGTCTTACTATCTGGAACATTTCTTGAAAGAAAAATATTCTGCCTTGCAATTTGTTATATATACATTTGCATATTTAAATTGTTTTATTTTTTGCAGTGACCACGGAATTATTCGCACACTGGATTTGCCAATTTATATCACAAAGATTAAGGTATATTAGATGAATTTGAACTAGAATTAAGTAAAGAGTAGGGTCTATCAGACCACTGGCAAGCATTATCTCCATACAAGCTCATAGTCTGGTACAATTTGCAAACTTCATGGTCTTATTTCCAGAGACTCTTATTCTCTGTAAATATAAACAGTTTGCTAAATGAAACTCCAATATAACTACCCATTCTGACAATCTAATATGTCACGAGTGGTCTTGCTATCTGGAACATCTTACGGTTAACCAGTAGAGCTAGAAACATGGGCGGATCTAGCCTCATCTACAAGGAGGGGTGCAGGTTTTCCATGGGGTAGTGCATGAGAGAGCCTTACTGCCCACTCTCCTCTGCAGTCTGTAACGCTACTATCCCAACATTACCATTATTTGAGATGGCCAAATCTGCATGTTCGCCGTTCTGTTACGTTTTACATTATCTTTTGTTTATAAAGTTTATATCGGCTTTTTATCACGTATGCGTGACTGGACAGTTGCTGTAGCACAGTACATGTAAATTTGCTTATCAAAGTACAGTATATTTGAAAATATGGCTGTATAACAATCTCATAACATATTTAACCATGATATTGAACTAAAGCATTCTGAGTATTTTCTCGTGAGTTCACAAATCAATTAAATCGTCTCAAGAAATCGACACGCGCTAACAGTAGAAGTTCCGCTAATCGCTATTTGAAAAGCAGAAAAATATACGGTCACGCAGATTTTTTAGGGTGGGGCTAGACTTCTCCATGGGGGGGGGGGTACTAGACACTACTAGGTGGGTACGCCATAGAAAAGAAATATTGCCTGGTACAATCCAGGAAAACATTGTGTATTAGTATTTTTGCACAAGTGAATAAAACAAATCCTACAAGTTGATTGGTCAAATTTGACGTATTTTAAAAGCTGTTCACAAAACCGAAATTTGCAAAATGGCGGCTAGCCGTTTTGTGGAAGTATTAGTATTTTTGCACAAGTGAATATAACAAATCCTACAAGTTGATTGGTCAAATTTGACGTATTTTAAAAGCTGTTCACAAAACCGAAATTTGCAAAATGGCGGCTAGCCGTTTTTTTTGCACAAGTGAATATAACAAATCCTACAAGTTGATTGGTCAAATTTGACGTATTTTAAAAGCTGTTCACAAAACCGAAATTTGCAAAATGGCGGCTAGCCGTTTTGTGGAAGTTACTCATAAAGAAATATTAAAGCGAAATTAAAATAAATTCAGTCCCAAAAAAAACACAAAAGACTTGTGTAAAAATACATTGTGTATTAGTATTTTTGCACAAGTGAATATAACAAATCCTACAAGTTGATTGGTCAAATTTGACGTATTTTAAAAGCTGTTCACAAAACCGAAATTTGCAAAATGGCGGCTAGCCGTTTTGTGGAAGTTACTCGTAAAGAAATAAGCGAAATTAAAATAAATTTAGTCCCAAAAAAACACAAAAGACTTGTGTAAAAATACATTGTGTATTAGTATTTTTGCACAAGTGAATATAACAAATCCTACAAGTTGATTGATCAAATTTGACGTATTTTAAAAGCTGTTCACAAAACCGAAATTTGAAAAATGGCGGCTAGCCGTTTTGTGGAAGTTACTCGTAAAGAAATAAGCGAAATTAAAATAAATTCAGTCCCAAAAAACACAACCCCCCCCCTTTCC